GAGGATCGAACTTTGGACCATCTCTCACCACTGTTTCACGATTTTTAGAAGTGCTGAGGAGAAAGGGATCGTGGTTTTGTGCTCCTCGCAGAGCCTCTACGACAGGCGGAAATTTTTTCGAAAAGGCGCTCCTTGTCCTGGTAGAATTCCGTTGTAAATTTGAAAAAAAAGATGGTCTATCACTTAACGAAGATGACGCCAAAAAGCCTTTGACAAAAGCTGCTGTGAAGCCTGGAAATTTCGCTAAGTAAACTGCCTTTTCAAGAGCTCTCAACGACTGTCGTTGCATAAAAGTGCATCAGCAGCAACGGTTCCGCTTCGGAAGGAAGTGTAGTTTGTCATAGGAAGGGAGGAATAAACTGAGAATGTACCTTTCCTGCCTTGAACATGGGAATGAGAGTCGAGAATAGCGATTGTACCATTATCCCTTTCGTGCACAATCAAAACTGCACGCTCGACGATGATCAGCACAAAGAACACTACAGGTAGATGAGCGATAAACTCGCTGAAATATCTAGCCCTTTACAAGTCCGACAGTCAAAGGATGATGGCTGTTCACCTGTCGATTGCGTGTTGGATGTGCTGCGGTAGCAGTTTCCAAGTAACGCCTCGCACACTCCTGTAGTCGATCTCGTGGATCACTCCACCAAGAGCTTCGATTCCCTGCGGTATGGTGAATGTGTCCAACGCAGGGAGGAAGCTGTTTGCCACCGAGTTTCTGAAAATCTAAAATGCTCAATGCAGGTTCACTTTCAGGGCTCACGTGAAAGGAGCATCAATTAAAGGCAAGCCCCGAGCTAAAACTGGAGTATAAGAGCGCTTCATAGTGATGTTTAAGCTGCCAAGTGTAGAAAATGGAAAAGGAAGCAAGAGAAATAATCGACAACGAAAAGAGCCCAAACTACCACTAACCAAGAAGGAATGATGGGTCGAAGTGGCCGTATGCAATGAGACATACACTGGTGGATGTGTTTTTGGCTGATCTCGAATCTGCTTCCCATAATCTGCCAATCGATTTCGTAAAACGAGTGATGAAGCAAAATAGAGCAGCGGTAATGGTCTGAGCTCGCGGGCAGGGGTCGTGGGATCGATTCCCTGACGGGTGATTTGACTACAAATTTGCCCTTAGGGACAATTTTATTTACGACACGACGAGTATCACACCTGCCTGTTGCAGTAAGGTCCGTAAGTTCTGCGGAGTTCTGCGGACTCCGTGTGCAGTCGATAATCAAATAGCGCCCAACTGCTAGTTACTCTTGAAACCTCTTTAACACGGATAAGTAATACGCCGCTGTCCGGTAACGTAAGTTGCGACTGCTCGCTCCAAAACATGCCTACCTCGAACGGTTAAAAGGGAGACCCCGTCAGGGAATCGATCCTACGACCTCTTGCCCGGAACAGTACCGCTGCTCTGTTTTGCTTCATAACTCCATTCGGAAAATTGACTGGCAGGTAAAAGCAGATCCAGATCAGATCCAAAACACTCCAAGGGGTTTAAGCTTATTACACTTGCACGTTCGATCCATACACTGTCTTGGTAAGATCGATTAGTAAGTAGTAGGGGATGTCATAAAGACAAACACGCGAGAATCACGTCGTACAGAGAGCGCGGGTGAGTGAGGAGAAATGCAATGGGAGTCGATGGTTGCATCCGGTAAGGATTACTTCCATGACCGTGCCTCTATAACAAAGACCTGAGACCTCTGTAGGTAGGCGACCCAAAACAAGTGAGCAAACAAACCCTTCCGGCCCTTTTGGGCTGCGGGCCTAATGCTGATGTGTGGAGTTCAATGGGTCCGACGGACTAACTCAACTCGGTTCTTAACCGCCTTCAATCTGATGCTTTACTCTAGGGCTTCAGGTCTTATAAGAGACGCTCGAGGTCTTAGTCCTGAGGTAAGCAAACAGCGCCTTTTTGCGGAGCTTGCTGACCAGGCCCCCTCCGGGTGCGTCGTGCTTGTTCCTACCGTCTCCGACCTAGTTTAAGTAGTCCGTCAATCGTCGAGGACCCCATTCCTTATCCAACATTCAGCATACGGCCCCAGCAGAAACGCCAAAAGGGCTGGTTTGCTTACCTCCGGAACCAGCACGACAGCTCGCGGAGTGATTACAACCGGTGAGCGCTAATCTTGTGGATTGCGCTTCGCTGTAATTTTATTTGCTTGTAACATGTAGTTGTATTTCCAACCCTTGGAACTTCCATTATTGATATTTTCCTATTATATATTTACTAAAAAAAACTCACTGTCGCTTCGCCATCTCTCGAGCATGGACAGCGTTACCATCAACGATGGAATTGGTTAGTAATGCTAGTAATGACACTGGAATTATCAGCTCCTAAAAAACTTCACTCACAGATACTACAGAAAAGGCAACATGCATGTACAGTCAGTACTACTCACGCTGTTCTTGAACATTCTTTCGCGTGATAGCGGGCATTGCTGGCAGTCGCATCCCGACCTAAAAAGAATCGATCGCTTAATCACTTCTAAGTCGCCCTAAAGACTCAACGTAATAGGCAGTGAGAGGTGGTTGGAAAGACAGGCCTCGGGCTATAGCGGCTACTCCTAGCGTACAAAAAGGAGGCTCCGCTCAAGCAAAATCCATCGAAATCTTGTCACACAATGTCCTACTCTAAATTCTTATCCCATCAGTCTCTCCAGTCACCATTCCTAATCTCCCAAACACTCCAGCACTGTGACTGACCTTTTAGAGTAAGGAAGGGATCGGGGGAGGTGGAAATGCGAGCAACTTTGGTACTCCCTGGCGTCCTCTCCTCTCTTGGGCTAAATCCTAGGGTCACCTACCACTGGTTTTCAAATGTCCTGTTTTAAACGTTCCCCACCCTTCCCGCAAGGATCTGAGCGCCGGGTACCATTGTGCGGACTGAGCTAGGAGGAGCAGAGTAACTTGATGGAAAATGAGAATTGTTCAAACACCACCTCTTCTTGTTTATCCCTGATGCTTAGTTCTAGGGGACTAAAGGTAGGGCGGGGTGTGGCAGTAGGGCTTAGTGCATAATTATGCAACGGCACTTCATAATCACATACTCCCTTGGCTCCACCACGGAGCTTTCCTTCCTGTGTTACGGCTGCCGGAAGGAGCTCTTTGAGATAAATGCTCATCCTCTCATTCCTCCTTCCAATTGTTCTACTCGAATCATGACGTATCTTTAGAAGGCATACGTTCAACCTCAGTCACTAGGGAGAGCAGGGCTCCAAGCGTATAGGTAGGACCTCATCCGGAGTTCGATTCAACCTACGCGCAGCTCAGAGTTGGCGATCGTACATGCGATTAAGGCGATTAGGCGATTAGGCGATGATTCAAAAGAAAGTATACGTATCGATTAGGCGATTAGGCGAGTAGGCGATTAGGCGATTAGGCGAGTAGGCGAGTAGGCGATAAGAGAAGGATACGTATTGATCAGTTGCTCCGCCCATTGAGCGATCGCCTAATCGCCTAATCGATACGTACCCCTTTGTAGACTAATCGCCCAATCGCTTATTCGCATATACGATCGCCTACTCTGAACGCTGCCCGAGCGATGCCGGTTGCTATCAGAATGGCATCCGTCATCAGGGTGGTCATATTGGTAATAAATCGAGTCGCGGTGTATACATCGCCGTGTAGGCCAACGAAACCTACCCTCTGAATTGAATACGTTTAGCCGTTTCGTCTACGTTTCGTTTTGCCCACCTGTGGTAGACTCTTGCCATGGCGAGCGCTATGATTGTACATGCGCTTGATGGTTTCCGCCTTCCACCGAATCTTGATTGTGAGATGTGCTGCGGCAATGTCCATGCGTAAATCCAGTTCTGCAAGATCGGTAGCGTGAATCTGTCGAACTCCTCCAATTAGGTTACTCACGTCATAAACCTGAGCCACAGACCAGTGTTTGTTAGTAGGTGGGTTAGTAATCGATGGTGTTGAATCGGACTCCGAGCTCCTAAAGAAAGTTATATTATGTAAGGTGTAGAATGCTTCAAAAGACTTTCTAGCACTGTAAAAAGCAACAATCGATGTGACAGGAAGAAAAGATTTTACGTGAACCTGGCGGAACCGTGAGGTTCCACCCTTTTCATCCTACCGGTCCGACGCAAGCACATCGACATAATGACTTCAAATTCGTTTTCAAGGTATCTTCTTTTGTGTTATCATTATACGAAACCTACTCCAAGCTTCACAAATGGAATTTGTGGCGGTGTATGCTATACGAAGTTATTACGATTCTTTACAGCGGTGTTGTTGCCGTGCGGTCTAGGAAAAGCGAAATGTTTTTTTACTGAGCCTTTGTCCCTGTAGGTGCTGGAGCCCTCCGAGTCATTGTTCCCGTTCCTTTGCTCCTTCTCGATGTCCCAATACGAAGAGCAAGGGACAAGTGATATCCTGAGCGACGCCAACAGTTTGAACAGCAAACAGTAGAGAATGAATTCGGGTTTGCAGAGCTTATGAAGGCGATAGCGCCGAACCAGTGACGGTCTGCCTATTCAAAAACTCAAAAAAGGACTAGGCGCTACCACAAGATAGGAAGGCATCGTCTAATAGAAGGCCTAGGAGGAGACAGAAGCCTCAGGGGAAAATGAAACTCCACGCACCCTTGATTCTCTTCTTACCCGCATAAAACTCAGCCTCATTTCTGAAAAGGATGGAGATGTTTTGCGCTGCTTCAAATTTATTGTAACCACAATGCCCCCGTATCTTATGATAGCGCCCTGACTATTCATTATGCTGGCTGCTGCCTCGTGTCGAATTTCGCCCGACATACGAAGGTATTTATAACGAAGTGAACTGTCCTCACACTGGCACTGTCCTCTTTGCTGGGTCGAATCGGCACATACAATGCCGACAATTTTGGGTCTTCCTGGAGCAAGAACTGATGTGAGCGGTCGCATAATTTGGCAGCTATAACATTTTTGATAGCAATCATTTTCTGTCTAGCCAAACGACCGCTCCTGACATACCACAAACCGACTTCCTACTTCAATGTACCAAAATTAATGAAGGTGGGGCGATTAAATTAGGCACATGTTCATCGACCGTCAAATATTGAAGCTGATCATGAACTGGAAATTCCCCAATGTAGACAATCCGTTAGCAATGTGAAATCCAAAAGCATTAATTTGTAATCGCACCATTCTTTCTTCATAAGCACCGCAGCCGTCATGAAGTTGGGAATATGAGGTGGGTCAGAGCGGTGGTGCGCTGTCCGCCTACGCAATCTCAGCGAAATTGAGATAGCATGGGTGCAAAATGAAAATTTAGTGAGCTGAGGCTAATGCAGTCAGTTTGAGGGAGGACGATTCACTCGCCAGGTCGCAATGCCTCCTTCTCACTTCTCCCCTAACTACAGTAGCACCTATATTACCTTTCTTATGCACAACTTACTTCGTTGCAGCGTTCCCAACGTAGATTTTCCAATGGTACGTTTGCGATTGGGTGGAAGGTGCTGAGATGACCATTACTTCGTGTGCCGCATAAGTCAAAATTTAATCTGTTGGGCACAACAGCGATTCATCACCGCTGCTAGTATGGCACAGTTTAAAAATGAAGGTGGGAAAGATCATTCATTCAGCATTCTGATAACGTCGGACTTCCATTTCATGCTCCCCTCCCTCTGTAGGTCGTTGAGGCAACCCACACGACGAAATCAGTTTGCGAACGTGATCTTAGACCAAGTGATCTTACTCAATAACTCGGAAATATACAGGGGGCAATAAAAAAAAGACATTTTGTCTCCAGACTCAAATGGATTTAATCACACTTTGCTCAGCTCAAAGCGTGTGCTCCCAACTTAGAATTGAAGAGCGCATTTCATTTCATAAGAAAATCTTCATAGTGGCCATCTACGTGGACGGCATCAGAAAAGTTTGCCCCGGAAACATGGTGCTCTGGTCGAGCTCAATGGGGTTCTCGACTGATCGTGTACCGTTACGACGGGTTCCGAAGGGTTCCGAGGGGGTTTGCATAGTTAGAGCTAATGTCCCTAGGAAACTATCCCAAGAACCGGAGTAATGTTATTTTTCTTTCACTTGAACCGATCCAAGAAATTATGTAAGAGCTTCAGGCTGAAGCAGTTACTGTAGGCCTCCCTGAGCTCGACGACGGTGACAGATGACGTCATATTCTGAAGACGGTGAGGGTAGTGAAGGAGGGCCTGCGTGTACTTATAGAGGGACATTTAGGGAATATTTTGCTGAGGAACTTCCGTCAGCGACGGCAATCTCTGTGAAGAAAAAAGGCTGAAGTGCGAACTGGCAAAATGTCTTTTTTTATTGCCCACCCCGGCTGTATACATAAGTTGCGGGAAATCACCCACGACCCGATCGACCCTATGCTATAAAATCACCCTCTTAGAAAGGATAAGATTTGCAAGCAAAAATGTTGAATGAACAAGCGTTCTATATCCTCCTGCCACTTTTCGGGACAGAGCTCTGTTGGCTTCAGCAAAAACTGTCTTATTTCCGACTGCTCAACCAGCATTCCATCCGTTTTCTTCATCGTCGAACGTTCTTTTTATGTGTCGTTCGACAGCGAAACGAAAAGGGTTAAATTGTTGGAGCAGGGTCTGGGTTGTACGGTAGGAGCAGCATCATCCCATGGTCAATTGCTTTTTATGAGTCACTCTTTCAGAACGCGGACGAGTGTATGTATTAGTTCAGGGATCGTATCAAGCTTCGATTTGAACGCGTCTCTGCGCGCCTACTTGGCGAGCCAATTCTAAATCCAACTGCCTCAACTCAGTAGCCACGCCCACGTGAGGAAGCGTAACGCCGCAGAAAGTCAAATGGTATTTGCCGGTCAGAGGCATACGTGGCTTAAGCTTGACCACAGGAGTCCCCCTGTGGGAAAGTATAAGTCAGGAACATCGGCTTGTATAACCGTAACTCTCTCGACTGCAGCTGTGGGCGCGCGGCAATGTCCGTGTCATGTCGATTCCACGTATGCTCTGCGCCACTTATTGATTTCGTTCTGCGTTGTCGCATCTAACGAGAGGATCCGTCCGAGCAACCCGCCAACTATACTAAGCGCAGTCGATTAAGAACGCGGAGAACAGCACGCGCAATTGTTTGGCCTCACGTAGGATGAGGCGGCACTTAGGGGACCACCTCCCCTGCTCGCGCGCGCAGCTCCATTTCTGGAACGCTGCACGCCGGTGTAGCGTCGTTGAATGTATTCGCTCGCAACCCAACCAACCAACGGGCATCGCTTGCGGGAGGACTGCGACCGCGCCCTAGCGCTAGTGTGTGTTACGGTATACATCCTATGTTTCTAAACTTATAATCTTGTTCCCTGTGGGTGGAGGTGCTACGCCTGCAACTGCTGAAGTTGCGACAACTTAGCATCCTGAGACGTCATAGTTTGCGAATCGAGCGATTTGCTAGCGAATCGCTGGATCTGAGCGTTGCACCAGCGAATCGACTGATGCACCAGCGAGTCGAACTATGTACCAGCGAGTCGAACGATGTACCAGCGACTCAATAGTGGCGGGACCCAACGTTCAAAGGAAAGCCCCACTTTCAAACAGTGTCCACTGTCAAGTCCCACCACTTTCAAAAAGGGTCCACTGTCACGTGACACTGTTGACAAGTACTCGAGTCTTCCTCTGTACGTTGGGTCCCGCCACTATTGAGTCGCTGTCACACGATAACAGTGTCACGTGACAGTAGACCCTTTTGTATGTGGCGGGACTTAACAGTGGACAATGTTTGAAAGTGGCGGGCTGTCTTTGAACGGTGTGTCCACAGAAGCGGAGGAAGAAGGCGTCGTTATTGGGGGGGGCAACTATTGACGGTGTACCGCTGCGGTACACTCGTTGGACTCTCTGGTACAGGGCAGCTTCGATTCGCTGGTGGGGGCACGGTTCGATCGCTGGTGCATATTATGTTGATCTCGGGCGGTGGTGCAACCGACGTTCGATTCGCTGACCGCAACGCTCCGAATTCAGCGATTCGTAGCGAATCGACTCGATTCGCAAACTATACATCTGGCAACGAAGCGCTCACTGAGTGAGTCACCGGGCGCTTACGATGTTAAACCGCCGATCAATCGAACGCGCCTATCGTCCGATATCTTCTCCGTGTCGCATTGGTTGTTCAGCTGTGCCTTTTCAACCCGAAGTTATTTCACTTTCAGGGAAACTCGGGTTCAGGGGGGGCTACGCAATGGCGCGGCGCTCTGTCGTCTGCTCCTGCCAGGGCTTAGGCTTGTACTCCACACAGGACAGTTACTCTTTCGCCATTATGTGGCAGTTTCAAAATACGCGCCATCGGTGAGTAAGCCTTGGTAGAGCAGACGAAAACAGCGCCGTGCCATCATCGCGCCCCCCCCCCCCCGAACACGAGTTTCACCTTACTCTCTCCGCGGCTCACATGATCTCTTATTTCGCTGTCTGCCTCATGGCCTTCTCCGCAATTTAGAGCAAGGAATTTCTTAGTTCATTTGTTGACCACATTTTTTTTCTTTTTTCTCCTTTTATGGTCCTCTTTGCTTCCTACTTTTGTACGGGAGTGGAATTACCACATCAAATTGATCCTGACCTCAGCTTTTGACTATCCCACCAAAAACAGTTCATAGCATTCAAAGGGTAAGCAGATGCTGCTGATTCGTCAAATATTGGGTTGTCTCATAATTCCTGTCGCAATTTCGACACTTTTGTTTATTCAAGTTTTATCTCTTCTAGGAAACAACTGATCAATAGCATAACCACCATCATGGTCACTGATATGCGTGCATTTGCTAGTGAGCGTTTGGAAGCTTCCAGCCCAGAATGAAGGAAGCTGGAAGGTTGAAGAATTTGGAGAAGTCGTTTTTGGGGTGGTCGCAATCTTTAACTTTCTTCTCTGGCAGATGCTTATTCAGGGCGCAGGGGAGGCGATAGTCCGATAGAGCGATGCCAATGGTGGATGAGGTATCGGCCCTGGCTATCTCCCTCAGAACGTGGTGAGTTGGCATTGCAATGTGAGGTCTGGCGTACATTCGGAGAAAGGAGAATCTGAGACGTTTCTGACGATTCCCTCGCAACCCGAAGCCAGCCTAGAGGGCTATTCTGACTTTAGCAATGCTTGTCTTCATACATTGAAGTGGTTCCCAAACCAGGCCACCCAGCGAATCCAACAAAACGAGAGTGATATTCTCAGAAAACGGAGTTCGGGCTTTGGTTGAGCTGGTGCTTCCTGGCTGCGAGGTAGCCATCAGACGTGCCGCATGTTGTTGTCGCAGTGGACTCATGACTCATCTCCACTGGTGACCGATTAGGGAAGGCTCTGCTTTTGCCGTCCCAGAATGAATTTTCCCCAGATGGTCAGGCGTGCTTCTCGCTCATGGTCGGCCGGACCATAAGGTTTCCATCAAAACTTCA